AATTCCACACAACCAAGGACAATTCACGAGAATGACTCGATGAACACAAAAGTTGATTTCATAAAACGTGTGTTCAATTACAGCACAAACTAAAGCTTAAATAGAACCTAGCTAACCTTGTGAACAATGGAAATCGTCATAAACCTATTACAACTCGAAAACCTAAACTGAAACACAAAAGGAAATAGCAATCCGAGACACTTAAGGAAAGAAACTCTTTTCTGCAGCTCCACGTCACCAACAGCCTGGATGCAACCTTTGAGGCCTTCGACTGATGACTTCCAGGAGCATTTTCAATCATCCAACGCCCTTCCTTTGTAGATGAAAATGCTTATTTTCATGTGGTATCGAGCCCCTGACTCGATTCTCTGTCCTCTGCCCAGAATGGAACTCCAAAGTGACCTTCCTGAACATACCTCCAGACTTGGTCAAATTCTGGAAAACTGCCAGTTGTGTGATAGCTACTTTGAGCCCGTGGGAAGCAGCATTAATGGCGTCGTATGAATCCGAAACCCATACCATCTTGTTCAGAAAGTCTTCATGATCAAAACGATACCCTAAACTCCCATTTTCATCAGCCCAATTGGTAGAACCGAGCTCCCAAAGTTGACTACCTGAACACGTCAATACACTTAGCCAAAATTCCAGATTGTTCAAATGAGTTGGGTTAGCTTCGTGGGCAAGTAATTCGAGCTTGGTAATGACGCAATTCTGGGTTGTATCAAGCATCTTAACAATAAGTTCATAAACATTGATCTTAACTATAAGTCACCTTTCCCTTTATGCTAATGAATTTAGGAAGGGCCTAGCTGGTGAATTAGATTACTCTATTGAAACTGAGAGTGCATCCAAATACATTGTATGTATCTTTTAATCTGAAATGTATCATATTGTTGGTGATTTAACTTTAAACTATACTTTTTATAATTAATTTCATGAAAAAAATACTCATTTTGTGAAGTAGAAGCGTAAAAGCGTAAAGCGTTTTGGTGAGCTAGAAGCGTAAAAGCATAAGCTTTTAACCTTTAAAGCGCAATTTAGTCCGATTTTATACACTAAAGATTTTATATAGAAACGAAAGCGATTTGGTGTCCTAAAAGCGTAAAACCGTAAGTTTTTAAGTTTTAAAGCGCGATTTTAACTGCATTGCTCCCAACAAGTGCTCCTTTACCGCCACGAGCTAGACAATTGCTCAAAGTCTCAGTCCATTCCAAGACCTCCTTGAAATTGAGGTTCTTGTCGATGATGTGAAGTCTCAACTCGCGAGCAATTGGTGAGACCTTGATTGGGGGCTCGCAGACTTGATTAGCATTGAGGCTCCACCTTCGAACCTCTTATTTCCTTCTTTTTGCCCCAAACCATATATAACATAGCATCAGTTGATCATCATTGCATCGACCAATAAGAACCTCGAGGGAGATTGAATTTCGTATCTCACACGTCCAGAACGAGGGTTCACCAATCAGGCTATGCGATCATTGGCGTCACAAATTATCATTATTAAAGTGATATTGTCTATTTTGAGAGCTTCGGAATATTTTCATTAGAAATTTCCGATTCTATTTTATATTCCACGAATGCTGAATTTTCTTCATTACTACGAAGCTCAAAACTTCCCTCACAAATTGATTAATAATTTCCTTGAATCCCTAGGGCTTACTTACAGTCGCGCTGTGATTGGACGGTGTTGCAGCGGCGCCCCCGGGCCACGGCCCAACCCTCCCTCAATCCAGAGCTAGTATAGCACGTGTAAATTTTCGATTTTTGGTGTTCGTTTCGGTGTTCGTTTCAGTGTTCGTCGTGTTACGGCCCAACCTTCTCTACTTTTTTCCAATGTGGCCCAGTGCTCTACCCAATCCTGGATCCGCCGCTGCGGTGTTGTATACGAATTATACAACAAAAGGGAGTCGCCTTTCTGGTGCAACCAGATTCTACCAACCATAACTAAAAGCGCATCCTATAGTATACTACTTGATTTTAGAAGCCATATATGGGACCATTGTACAAAATTCGTGTACAAAATTGTCTCGTGATGGAATGGATCTTCTCCTTGTACCAAATGGGTTGGTTCCGACTTCCGATCATAAGTTTCTAATTCTTCAACTCTGTGTATACAAGGGACAATTATGTACCAAAACAATGGCTTTCACATCATCTTCCTGTAACTTGTAGGGTTCGGCAAGTTTTGGCTCTGAAGCAAAGCGATTGCCAGAAAAAGCAATCCACACTTCTTCTCCCTTTCTAGAGATGTATGTTTTCGCATTTACAAACCCAATCAATTAATGTTTAGGAAATTCCTACAATACCTTGAAGTTATGGTAACTTGATGTTTTTGACCTGCTATAACAGGTTTCACAAGTCGCATTACGTAAAATACAATAGGCATTACGTAATGGTTACGTAATGTGTGTTTATCTTACGTAATAGTTGAAAAATGTCATTACGGAAACCTTACGTAATAGAGACTCATTTTACGTAATGAATATTAACCTTTCGTTACGTAATCTGTTGAATCATTACCAATGTTTTCAGAACCGGACCGGAAGCTGAACCGGAAAAACTAGTGGTTCATGGTTCAATGGTTAACCGTTATAAAACCGTTGCTGAATCGTTTATAGAACCGTTCACACATAAAATAGAATAATATATATAATAGAATTATTCAAAATGAAATTTTCCACCAAACATAAACGATCGAAATTCATATTATCTGTAGTGGAGCAGTCTGATGGAAGCAAGAGGATTATGGTTGACTGGTTGTAGGCTGTACAGTACAGAGCAATTAAGAGAAAGTAGAAAATACAATTAAGGTTACTTGTTTTGATCGTCGTTGGCTTAAATGCATATACGATTAACTATTCTTTTTTTCCCTTCAACTTTTAAGGCTCAAAGTTAAAATAGCAGGCCGTTGGACCAATAAGACCGCTCCGGGTTTGCGGCTTTCTTGTAAAATTGGCAAAAAGCGCTCGGCCCAACATTGGCCGCTTGAATGCAGGAGCCGGACCGCTAGTGTTAGCGGTTGACGGTTTTCCTGGTTCGGTTCACCGGTCCGATCCGGTTCTTACAACAGAGATCATTACGGAAGGCTTACGTAACACTTCTAATTTAACTGTTACGTAAGAAATAACTATCGTTACGTAACCTTTACGTAATAGATGCATACTTTACGTAACAGTTGTAAAGTGGCATTACGGAAGTCTTACGTAATGGATGGTCCATTTACGTAATGATATTAATCAAGTTACGTAATGTGGTAAGTCATTACGGAAGTCTTACGTAACACTTATAATTTAACTGTTACGTAAGAAATAACCTTCGTTACGTAACCTTTACGTAATGAGCGTGCATTTTATGTAACAGTTGTAAAATGTCATTACGGAAACTTTATGTAATAGACGATGCTTTTATGTAATGAATATTAACCTAGCGTTACGTAAAATGATAATTCGTTACGGAAACCTTCCGTAACGCTTCTAGTTTAACTGTTACGTAAGACTAACAAGCATTACGTAATTGTTACGTAATAAACATTAGTTTTACGTAACGCGACCTATAAAACCTGCTATAGCAGGTCTAATGTTTAATTCGAATAAATACATCACACCCACAACGGCCAAACACCGTTTTGTGTTTGTATGATCAAGTCAATTAAATAAAATTGAGATTTATCAACCTTGAACTCTTATAAATGTTCCGATTATAACTATCAATTCTAGTTTTGTAGATCTACATACAGGAGGAGTTGTATGGGAACCTCAATTGTTCAATATCATTATTAGTCGATTGTAACTATCAATTTCATATTGTGTTTCTTTAACGATATGAAATTCCGTCGTGGTTGCTTATGAAAATAATGATTTTATTAGTTGATTACTTTTTATATGTGAATGAATTATTTGGATATAATTAGTTTTAATTTTATTTATTAAATAATTAGTAATTAAATATTTATCTATTTATATTATGAAACGAGGACATGGGTAATTTCAAATCCTGCCTCCGCCTCTGGATCGATGTACGGAGAATTGATAGGGTGGTTGAGCTAGGGTAGCAAGAAGAGCAAGGACGACGGAGATTAAAGGGATGGTATTTTCATTTTTTTATTTATTACTAATTTAATTTAATTTAATTTCGAATTAATAACAATCTTATATTAATGATATGGCATTCCATGTAGTTAACACGTTTTTGTCCCATCAGCGAAAGTCAATATATACTTGACCGTCGTCTGGTCAACGGTTATCTCTAACGATCAATAAATGTGCTATGACATAAATGCCACAAAAGTATGATATTTTGTGCTAGGATTTTCATATTGAACGAAATAACATTTTTTTTTATAATTAGCATGTTGGAGTGGAAGTAACCCAAAAAATTAAGAGGATGATATCATATTCTTACAACATAGGTTTGAAAAACATCAAAATTGGTTCTATTTTCATGTTGTAAAAACAGTTGTAAGTTTTTTTTTTTAAAACCGGACTTGTAAAGGTATTTGACCCAACAATATTTCCATGCAATCCGATTTTGCAAGCTACTGCGCGGCTTCCTACGTGGCATCATCGTAATTGGTAGAGTTCTCTATATTTGAATTCATAATCTAGGCTAGAAGTTCTCAATAACAGAGAGACTTCATATTTGAATTCCTCAATCTTTATGAGATCACAATTAATGGACGTCTGCAGCTACCTCTGTAACAAGTTGCAGTCAGATATTCTCCGTTTGGCTCTCGACTACAAACTTTCGAAAGAAAAAATGCATTTTGAAAACCGAGTCAAACGTTAACATAGTCGAACGTTAGTCCATACTCCATACGTCATTGTCAGTGGCATGCCACCCGATTGAACCTGGTTCAACTTATGCCGGTCATGAAACCAGCATAACACCATCGGTACCGTCACAGGTATGATCGATTTACGCATTTTAAGCAAAATGACATCATTTTCCCTCAAAAAATTAATAAAAAAACTAATTTATTATTCATTTTATGAATTTAATAGTTAAAAATTGATGATATTTGTTGGATTGCAGGGAACAGTTAAGGAAATCCTACCTGCGATCAATCGAGTAATCGAGTTCGAAGTCAGCTGCTGAAACAACTCGCTGATGACAACAACAACAACGGAGGAACCACCTCCCCTGTTTTCGGGCTCGTCGTTTCCCTGGAGGCAGAGCAGGTACAATTCCTTCATCAACATCCCAATCTCCGACGCCTGAACGTGGCCGAGCGACTTCAGCCGGTGGGCGGAGAGGAGCTGCGTGACGGCGACCTTGCGAACGTCCCTCCAGTACGACCCGTAGGGAGCTGCGGCGAAGCCGGCGTAGTTGTAGGTCAGGTGCTCTGCCTGGCTGGATTTCGGCCGAGAAGCCAGAGCCCTGTCCTGGGCGGTGAAGCACTCCTGGATGGTTGCGGCATCACTCACGACGGCGACACGGTGGACGCCCAGCCTGACGGAGAAGACCGGCCCGTGGCGGTCCGCCATGTCGGCGAAGGTTCTGGCCAGGGTTTTCCTTGAGATGGCGAAGTGAAGGAGGTGGCCGATGATCGGGAGGCCGCCTGGTGGCTCCGGCGGTAAGTTGGAAGGTGTTTTGGATTTGGGATTCCTGATGGGGATTATTAGTTTGTAGAGGAGGAGAAGTGATAGGAGGAAGCCTGAAATTGGGAGGAGATAGCGCGAGGAAGAGGAGAGCAGCTCCATGGAGAAAAGGCGTTTAGTGAGAGGAGAGGAGACTGGAGAGGAGAGTTCCATTATTATTCGTGTGAAAATATAAATATGAAAGCTTTTGTTAATATAAAAAATATGAGCATGTAGCGGGTTTGACCATCCATTATGAATTTATGACAGGAACTAAACCAAAAAAGTCAAATGGGTGGTTCAAAATTTCCTACACTCTGCGAGTCGTCTGCTGCTTGCTTTGCTGGGTCACGCATGGGATCGTCAAATGCCAGTTTGGAATTTATTTATTTTTTCCACAAAATACTAGACTTACGCAACAAAATTCTCACGATATCATACTTGCACTAATTAGAATATATAAAACCGTAAGTAGATTTTGTAAGGTTTGGGAGAACTGTGTGTTTGTATTATTGATGATAAGGGTATTTATACCCAGAACGTACACGAGCGGAAGCACAGATCAAGTACAACAACGACATGGACTCAACTCTATACAAGGAATACAAATTAGATGAGAACTAGGTTTTCTCCCTAATACGCCCCCGCAAGATGGACGCGGCATCTGCAAGACCAATCTTGGAGGTTAAGAGACGAAATCGTGTGGCAGGAAGAGCTTTGGTGAGCAAATCCGCCAGCTGAGAAGCGGTAGGCACATGACATAGGCGAAGAAGCTTGGAGGTGACCAACTGACGTACAAAATGGTAATCAAGCGCCAAGTGCTTCATGCGCGAATGGAACACAGGATTAGAGCTGAACTGGACAGCACCAAGATTATCGCAAAACACAGTCGGAGCTTGAGGCAGCGGGTAGCATAGCTCCTTGAGTAAGTTCTGGATCCAAACAGTCTCCGAAGTGGCCAAGGCTAGGGCGCGATATTCAGCCTCTGTGCTGGAACGGGCAACAGTACGCTGCTTCTTGGACTTCCAGGAGATCAACGTGTCACCAAGATAAATAAGATAGCCCGACGTCGAAGTGCGATCATCAAGATCACCTGCCCAATCAGAGTCAGTAAAAACACGCAAGGAGAGAGGAGTAGACTGACGTCGGACATGAAGCCCAATGGTACGAGTCCCGGCAACGTAGCGAAGCAGCCGTTTAACATGCTGCCAATGGATAGCTGTGGGTGCATGCATATACTGTGACAATTTATTGACCGCAAAGGCCACATCAGGACGAGTAGTAACCAGATACTGCAAGGCTCCGACAGCTTGACGATAGAGTGTGGCATCCGCTGTAGAAGACCCATCAGAGGAGGTGAGCCGGGCCGTAGACGTCAAGGGAGTAGGGGCCGAGTTTGCCTCATGCATTTGGAGGGGAAGGTGGCTGCACAGGTGGCGAGCTCGCTGGGGAAGAGCCTGCCGGAGAAGAAGAGGCCGGTGACGGAGGGACTGAGTTGTCCATGTGAGGAGGGGTGGGGGGCACCGAAGCTGACCGAGAACCTGACGAAGGCGCAGAGAGCTCACGTACCCTGCATGGAATAAAGGTGATATGGGGAGACGTGGCTGTAAGCCATGAAGTGGAGGAAGATGTAGTTGCTGCTGGAGTGAAGGAAGGGTCGACACCAGGGAATTGAGACTCAACAAATGACACGTGACGCGAGAGAAAGACACGACTGGTCTGGGGATCAAGACAACGATAGGCACTCTGTTGATGAGAGTAGCCTAGGAAAAGACACGGACGAGATCGAGGTTGGAGTTTGTTGTTATTGTAGGGACGTAACCAGGGATAACACAGACAACCGAAAACACGAAGTTTGGAATAATTGGGAGCTTCATTGAACAACAAGGTGAAAGGAATTTGACCACGAAGTGCAGAAGAGGGAAGACGATTGATGAGATAAACAGCAGTGGTAAAGGCGTAAGACCAGTACGAGAGAGGTAGTTGAGCCTGATGCAAAAGAGTAATGCCAGTCTCAACGATATGACGATGTTTGCGTTCAGAAAGTCCATTGTGTTGAGGGGTGTAAGGAGGAGTGAGAAGATGTGTAATCCCATGTTGGGCAAGAGAACTTTTGAGTTTGTGGAATTCTCCACCACCATCCGTATAGAGTCGACGAATTGTGGTGGAAAAGTAGTTCTCGACAAGAGTTTTGAAGGCAAGAAAAACAGACAACACATCAGATTTGAACTTGAGTGGATAGATCCATGTATACCGAGAAAAGTGATCAACAATAACTAAATAGTAGGAAAAACCATCGACAGAGGTAACAGGGGCAGGACCCCAAACATCAGAAAACAAAAGGTCGAAAGGCCGACAACTAGACAAACTCGAATCACCAAAGGGGAGTTTATGACTTTTGTTCGACAGACAGGAATTACAATGAGAGAGTGACCGTGGCGAATGAGGCAGAGAGTAAACTTGAAGAAGACGAGACAAGGATTTGGTGGATGGATGACCAAGACGTCGATGCCAGGAATCCGACGTATGACGGGTGGTGACAAGGGCTACTCGAACAGCATCCGATCCTCCTGGGAGCTCGTAGGTGTCACCTTTGTTCCTTCCGGTCAGCAGAGGCGCCCCCGTGTTTAGGTCCTTCACAATGAACAGATCAGCAAAGAATTCAACAGAGACTGGATTAGCGCGGCAAAGTTTAGCAACAGATATTAAACGGTGCTTGATGGCAGGGACACATAAAACAGAACGAAGATCAAGTGGGCGATCCTTAGTGACAAGAGAAGAAGAACCGATGTGGGTAATTCGCAAACCTGAACCATCACCCAGATAAATCTCATCGGGACCGTTGTAGTCGGAGTAGAGTGAGAGATGGCCGAGATTGTTGGTGACATGATGAGTAGCTGCAGTGTCCATTAGCCAGGAACCGTCGGAGGAGGAGGCAGCCTGCGGTGGGTGTTGAGTGTAGTTCGCTTGCGGTGGCCTTTTGTGTGGAAAAAGTTGGAAGCACATTTTCGCAGTATGACCAGGCTTCTCGCAAAATTGACAAAAGACCCGCTGGCGACGATTGGAGTCTTCATCGTTCCGCTGGGGAGAGGCATCCCAAGGAGAAGACGATCCGGAGGAAGAAGGCGGAGCTGGGGCTGGTAACAGGCCAGGGCCTGACCCACGACCACGACCGCGACCAGCGGAGCCACCGCGGCGGCCATGCCCCCGGCCGCGTTGTGTGGCATAAGCAGTGGCTGGGGAGTCGACGGAGGAACGATGAGCACGAAGGTCAGCCTCGAGGGTTTGGAGGCGATCAAGGAGATCTTCAAGTCGAGGAGGCACATCCCGAGCCCTAATGCCGGCAGAAAATTCTTGATATTCAACTCCAAGACCACGAAGACAGATAGTGACGAGTTCCTCATTGCGTACGATTTCACCGGCGAGGGCAAGTTCAGCTGCACGAGAGCGAAGGGCCTGAATGTAGGTGGCCACATCGCGATCTCCCTTCTTTTCACCATGAAGACGATCACGGAGAGTCATGATCCGGGAGTAAGAGGTACCAGCATACGTGCTCTGGAGAATATCCCAAGCCGCCTTGGAGGTCTCGGCAGATGAGATAAACGGGCAGATTTCAGGAGAGATCGAAGCAAAAATACCATTGAGTAAAAGTTTATCTTGTCGGAACCAGTGGGTGTATGCCGGGTTCCGAGTCTGAACGTTATTGACAAGGACTTGCTCGGCAGGAGCGACGATGGTGCCATCGATATAGCCATGAAGATCGAGGCCATGGAGAAGAGAGAACAACTGCGCTCTCCAGCTGGGAAAATTGGTGGCAGTTAGCTTGAGGGGAAGGGAGGCAGCCGGATTGAACGTCACCAGCTGCGGTTCAGAGGGCGGAACAGAGTCAGAGCCATTAGAGCCGGTTGAGACGGTGGAGTCGTCGGCCATGGCGACGAACACAGCAAGAACAGGTCGGAAGAAAAAACTAGGGTTCGTAAACCTGCTCTGATACCATGTAAGGTTTGGGAGAACTGTGTGTTTGTATTATTGATGATAAGGGTATTTATACCCAGAACGTACACGAGCGGAAGCACAGATCAAGTACAACAACGACATGGACTCAACTCTATACAAGGAATACAAATTAGATGAGAACTAGGTTTTCTCCCTAATAGATTTATGGAGTTTCTGTGGGTTGTGGGCGTGTCTATGGTGAGTTCCATGCACCCTAGCGGAACACCACCAGGCACCAGATCTATTATATCTTTAAATTTCAACCTTAGATATTTTTCTTTCTGTATACTATAACAGCTTCTCACGCATTCACTCAGCTCTCACTTCTTCTAGCGATGACCGGAGGCGGCTAAGGAAGTCTTCTCCGATTCCACATTCCTCTCCTTCCCCCGGCTTTCGACCCACCACTCCCACTTCTGCGTCGAATTAAAAAAAAAAAAAAACAGAGCAGTCGGTGACTTCCTCAACGACTGGTTTGCAGCGACTTTTCGTTTCCCCTACGACGACATGGTGGCAGCTAGACAAGTCGTCTGATTCCCTTACAACTATAATTCCCTTCCTCTCCTTCCCCTGGCGTTTCGTTCCCCAACTCCCAGTTCGCCATTGAATCCTTTGATTTGGTGTGCGCGAACTTGGCACTTGGCGGAGTTTGGTCTCCATTTTGCACTTTTTTCTCATCCCCCAAATCCGCCATTTCATCTTTCGGCGACACTGATTTCAAAATGAGCTGGAGATTTTGGGTTCTGGTACCACGACTTCTCTTCTTTGGATCTGAAGGAGTGCGATGGAATTATCGAAAGTTGGAGTGCCCCAATTGGTTTGTGGGATATAGGAGTTGAGGTCGTATGAACCAGGCTTAAGGGGTCGAAGACCAAGAAGTAAGTTTCTGGCTATGCATATCGATTCCAGGCATATGATGGTAATTCGTCAATTAAACCGCCTTAATGCTCTACTTTGATGAAAAATAGGCAATGACGAGGGAGGTCTAATTTCAAGCAAGAAGGATTAAAATGATTCCATTTATCACGTTCATGGGTATTTGGAGGGGACTCCCATCAATTTTATTCATATGATCGATTAGACACTCTTTACACCAAAATTCAACTTAGGGACATGTTGTTGTTTTG